CTAAAGGAAACCTTTGGGTTTTCACATTTGGTTTCACTCCTGCTGAGTTCCTGAGCTTAGTTTAGAGGTTTAGAGTTCTGGTCCCATCCTGGTTGTTCTGAGGTTCATTTGGAGCTTTTTCCTGTCCGATGGTAGATCCTCACCRTGATGTGGAGTTAATAACTAGTCTCTGTTGGACCGAGGACACTATCGATGAGATCCACCCTCGCCCCCACCTCCTCTTCAGTCTCTGAGCAGCACCACCGGAGCGTCACGTTTCAGCCCACAGACCAACTTCCTGTGGTTTTGGTCCATTTCTCCTCCACCTTGTCTTCAGCTCATTTGCATCGCTGTTCAGTCCAGATTAACCCTTCCATCTCCTCCGACCTCCCCCCACCTTCTCCTCCTCCTCCCCCCTTTAATTATCTGTGCCTATCCAAGGGCAGCTAACGACCTGCTAATTGATTTCAGCCTCTTTTCCTCCTCTTCCTTCCTTTCTTTCTTTTCTTTTTTTTTCTTTCTCGTCGGCTGGATTTAAAGCAGAATTAGTGTCGCTCACCTTGTCCCCCCCCACCCTACACACACACACACACACCTCCAACAGTGATTCATCTTTAAAGCACATTAGGTCAGGCATTTAGCTGATGCTGTATCTATCCATCTATTAATCTATTAATTAGAGGGCTAATTAGGCCAGAAGAGCAGCCAGTGACACCGTGTCAGTTTGGACCCGGGTTCTTCCCGCTCATTACCTCCCACACACACGTCCTGCCGGCTGTAATTAATGACGGGCTTTAACGGGTCGGCTCAACAAGCCTCCGTTTAGATCCACTCTGTCTTTACAAGGTTTCAGGTAAAATCAACTTCTTCAACCAGAATTTARTTTCCAACAAAATCCTGAAGGAATTTTATTTATTTATTTTACTTTAAAGTTTGTTTGTTTTTTACATTTGTCTAAATGTTTAATAAAAAAAGAGAAGAGAGATAGACATTTGAACAATTAAATTAAAAAATAATTCAGATTTACATCTGGGACAAAATATTCTCCTTCATTTGATACAGTATTTGATATTCTGGCACCAAATTTTGATAATCAAATCAATGAAAATGCAGAACATTAACTAACAGCATAAAACAATTTTTTAAGTCTAACTTATTATTTTGTAATTATCAAACAAATGAATAAATATAGAATTGAATTATTCTGATTTCATTTATAAATGATGGATTTTATTTTTGACAGTTTTTCTTAATTATTTCTGTTAATAATTCTAACATTTAGTTTTTTTAATTAGTTAAATTTCTTCATGATTTTGATTTTATACTAAATATACAAAAGTTTTTTCAGGTCTAATAAAACATTTTAGCCATTGAGTCTCGGCAGGATTAGTTTGAGTTCTTCTGACAGTCGAGATTATTGAGGTGTGTGTTGGGTTTTTGTTCAAACACTGAACACACAGTGAAGCCAGAGGACATATCTCGACCACCACCTGGACATTCCCCCGCCTCTTAGTGTGTGTGC